TTGTTTTTGTTTTTTTGTTTTGGTGAGTTTTAGAAGTTCTTTATATATTTTGGATACTAACCCTTTATTGGATGTGTCATTTGCAAATACTTTCTTCCATTCAGGAAGTTGCCTTTTAGTTTTGTTGATTGTTTCCTTTTCTGTGCAAATGCTTTTTATTTTGAGGTAACCCTAATAGCTTGTTTTTGCTTTTATTTCCTTTGCCTCAGGAGCCGTATCTGGAAAAATGTTGCTATGGCTGATGTCAGACATTTCTGCCTGTGCTCTCTTCTAGTATTTTTATGGCTTCAGGTCTCACATTTAGGTCTTTAATCCATTTTAAGTTTTTGTGTATGGTATAAGTGGTCCAGTTTCATTCCTTTGCATGTAGCTGTCCAGTTGTCCCAACACCATTTTTTGAAGAGACTGTCTTTCCCATTGTATATTCTTTCCTGCTTTGTCAAAGATTAATTGACCATATAATTGTGGGTTTCTGTTTTCTCTATTCTTTTTCATTGATCTATGTGTCTGTGCTAGTACCATACTGTTTTGATCACTACAGCTTCGTAATGAAATTCGAAGTCTAGAATTGATACGTCCAGCTTGGCTTTTCTTTTTCAAGACTTCTTTTGTTATTCGGGGTCTTTTGTGGTTCCATAAAAATTTTAGGATTGTTTATTTTATCTCTGTGAAAAGTGCTGGTGGAATTAAATGTGTGAATTGCTTTGAGGAGCCTAGACATTCTGACAAGATTCTTCCAATCCATGAGCATGGAATGTCTCTCCATTTCTTTATGTCATCTTTAATTTCTTTCATCATTGTTTAATAGTTTTCAGAGTATGGGTCTTTATTGCTTTGGTTAGGTTTATTCCTAGGTATGTTATTGGTTTTGGTGCAGTTGTAAATGGGATTGTTTTCTTAATTTCTCTGCTGCTTCATTATTGGTGTATAGAAATGCAACAGATTTCTGTACATTGATTTTTATCCTGTGACTTTACTGAATTTATCAGTTCTAGTAGCCTTTTTTTTTTTTTTTTTTGTGGAGTCTTTCAGGTTTTCTATATGTAGTGTGCTGTCATCTGCAAATAGTGAAAGTTTGATTTCTTCCCTGCTGATTTGGATGCCTCTTATTTCTTTTTGTTGTCTGATTGCTGTGAATAGGACTTCCAGTACTGTGTTGAACAAAAGTGGTGGAGGTGGGCATCCTTGTTTTGTTCCTGACCTTAGGGGGAAATCTCTGTTTTTCCTGCAGGGTATTCTTTATAGGATAGCCATTTTTCTGTTCTCGACTCCCATGAGAAATCCCAATATTCTTAAAATCTCCCTTTTTATTTAAGTTTATTCATGCTGCAATTCCCTCATTTGCAATTAAAGGCTTTCTAACTAACATGTTAGACCAATCTTCCCTCTGTTGCTATCATTTACCTAAAATGTAAATGAGACCATATTATTGCCTCCCTACTTATAACCCTTTAGTTAATTGCCCGTGTTTAAGGTTCATGACTATATCCTATGCACCTCTGTAAGGCTCTCTTTGCCTCACATATTAAAATTTAGTACAGCTGAACTGCTTGTGGTTCACTGAGCACATGGCATTCCTGGGTTTCCAAAGGTCTTTGTTTTCATTCTTTTCCTTGAAAGAGCTCTTACTCTTTTTTGTGTCTGCTCTCTTAGTTTTCAGTAGAAGCCTTTCACTTATTTAACATATATCTAATTCACACCACTTTTTGCCAGGTATCATGCAAAGCTATTGGTGTTACCATGGCATGCAGACCTCTATGGTCCTCATGGACCTTCTAATCTACTTAGGAAGACAGATGATGAAAACAAAATAGCAAATGTGTTGAGTGGTGAATATGTGGAGAATGCAGAAGAGATCAGTGGATACAGAGAAGTCAGTTTGAAGTCTGCTTCAGGAATCCAGGCAAGAAATGACAGTTGCTTGGCTTGTGGTACTGGCAACGGGATGGGGAGACTGTTTAGGACATAGAATCAGGGGTGATTGACCAGATGCTAGAAGGGAGAAAAAGTCAGAAGTGAGCCCCCAGGTTTCTGGCCCAAGCAAGTAGGTGACTATTAATGCCATTTTCTATGATAGGATGCACTGGAGGAAACAGTTTGGGGAAGATGCTGTGTTAGGAGGAACTCTGAGTCAGCACATGATCTGCTACTCTGGAGTGCACAAGGGACATGTATTTTTAGGCTGCACTGAGTCTTCCTGCACTGTGATCTGTTCACCCACAGTGCTCTTACTCTAGCTGAGACTCGTTCATCGAAGAGTTCCCATCAGCTAGCACAGAAACTCACCATTGTAAATCTTCAATAATAGTGTAATGGAGCAATTTAAATATCTAGTGAGGTTGTCAACCCTGTGTTTGAAATTAAAGACTATGATAGAACTCTATAATTTGTTTTTGCTCGTTGAAATACAGGTAAAATATGAACAAGTCAATTCATTTAAATTTTGCACTTTCATGCAAATCTACAAATGACTCATTTTGTATTTTAAACAAGAGGCTATTATATATTCAACAGAGTACAGGAGTTAGAAAATCTCACAAATACATATGGGTTTATTAAGCAAGGTGACTTCATTTATTTTAAAAGGAAAATTTGAGTTGAAATTAGAGATAAATTAACTTCTACCATGGTTCTGTCTGCTAAGGCTGTGGTTTAAGAAGTCTTACATACGTTGGCAAATAATCATAACTTTCCCCCCGAACATGTTCATAAAGAAATAAACCTCACTGAAGAGAACATCAGATATTTAAGAGAAATGCTTATTTAGACTAGAAGCAATCAATTTTGTCTTCTGCTTGGAAAAGCAAACATAAAGAAAATGGAATTTAAAAAACTCAGGAACAAGTTTCATATGAGATTGCCTCAACCTTAGACAAGTAGCTACAACTCTGTGCACCTCTGCTGCTTGATGGAATGAAGAATTCTGTGCTCACAACTGCTGCGGCTATAGTCCTAACTAGGGAACTGCCAACTGAGCATGCCTAAGAAAAAGTGATGGCTAGGTTTGGTTCATTAAGAAGAAATCCCTTTATAGCCACTTCTTGTTCAACTATTTTCCAATAATGGCGCCAAGTAATTTGTGAAAACAGGCCCGAGTATGAAAACCGCAATTACTTTTTGGAGAACGTTGCAGCGGTAGCATATTTTTTGCATCATTTAGAGTGAAGGAGGCAGGGGTTGATAATGAGAAAATGAGAGAATGAAGATAAAAAAAGATGAAATAAAGGGCGCCTGGGTGGCTCAGGTGGTTAAGCATCTGACTCTTGGTTCTGGCTCAGGCCCTGACCTCAGGGTTATGAGATCGAGCCCCACACATCAGGCTCTGTGCTGAGTGGGGAGTCTGCTTGAGATTCTCTCTCCCTCTGCCCTTCTGGCTCATGCTTGCTTTCTCTCTCTCTCAAAGAAATGAATCTTAAAAAAAAAAAAAAAGAGAAAATAAGCCAATTTATAGTAAAATGTCCATCATGAACAGTACAGATTGATGTGACAAATATACATATTTCTTTTCCACATTTTTTAATGCTTTCTAAGAAGAGAATGAAATCCTCAAAAATAGAATGTGTTAATATTCGTAGCCTGTTCATTAAGGGCTTCTAATGTTGCCTTCTAGCCATTTTCTAATAAACAGGACTCTAAAGAGGAAAGGCTGGGAATCTGAATAAATGAAATTCATATTTAAATTGGATTACATGGGCTTAACATTTCCAGGATCATATTGTAACAATTAAAAGATAACATATTTTCCCCAAGTAGAATCTATTAGATTATCTTGGTTTTCATGAATTTTTTGTTTGGGGGGGGGGGTTGTAATGTCAAGAGATAGGAAATTTTGAGAAACTAATTATAATAGGCAGAATATAGGCATACCTCTGAGATATTATGGGTTTGGTTCCAGACCCACATCCCAATAATGCAAATATCACAGCAAGACAAGTCAAATTATTGTTTCCCAATGCATAGAAGGTTTACATTATAGTGTAGTCTGTTAAGTGTACAATAGCATTGTGTCTAAAAAAAAGTACATACCTTAACTAAAACATACTTTATTGCTAAAAAAAAAAAAAAAATGCTAACCACCATCTGAGCTTTCAGCAGGTTATAATCACTGATCATAGCTCACCATAACAAATATAGTGATAATGAAATTGGTGATGATGAGAATTACCAAAATGTGGCACAGAAACACAAAGTGAGAAAATGCTGTTTGAAAAATGGTACTGACACACTTGCTTGATGCAGGGTTGCCACAAACCTTCAATTTGTGTTTACAGAAAACCAAAAACAGTATCTGCGATGCTCAGTAAAGCAAAGCTTAATAAACCAAGTTATGGGAGTGCGCCTGGTTGGGTCAGTCATTAAGTGTCTGCCTTTGGCTCGGGTCATGACCCCAGGGGCCTGGGATGGAGCCCTATGTTGACAGGCTCCCTGCTCAGCAGGGAGCCTCTCCTGCTCCCCATGCTTGTGCATGCACATTCTCTCTGTCAGATAAATAAAATCTTTAAAAATAAAATAAAACACAGAATGCTTATAATGCTCTTTTCTCTACCTCCCCGCCCCAAAAATGTTCACATCCTAATCCTTGGAACCTGTGAACAGGTTATTCTACATGGTAAGGGGGAATTAAGGCTGTTAATCAGACTACTGTAAAATATGTAGGTTTTCCTGGATTATCTGGGTGGGCCCAATGGAATCACAAGAGTCCCTTAAACATGGAAGAATAAGGCAGAAGTTTAGAAAAGATTAATAAGAGATGTGAGGAGGAAAGTAGAGACTGGAATGATGTGATTGTTGACTTTCAAAATGGAAAGGGGACATGAGCCCCAAAATGTAGGCAGCCTCTAGAAGTTGGAAAAGGCAAGAAAACAAGGGTATTACCATCTCCAGTTCTGAGAACTTTCCTTTTTTTTTTTTTTTTTCCATTTCTGTACTTTTTTTAACTTCTTAAATTTTGGAACTGCTGTTATATACATAGAGACTTATAATTACTTCTGATAAATTACCCCTTCCTCAGTATGTCCTTCTTTATGTAATACTTTGTCTTGTAGTCTCTTTTGTCTAATATTAATATAGCCATGACAGGTTTCTTATACTTTTTACATGGTTTATCTTTTTCCATGTTTTTACTTTGAAAATATTTGTCTTTGTACTTAAGGACTTTCTTGAAAAAGGCATTTAGCCATATCTTTCTTAAAAATTAAGACATACTCTTTTAATTGGAGTGTTTAGTTCATTTATGTTATTGATATGATTGAGTTTGAATCTACCATCTTGTTTCATGTGCTTGAATGTTTTTCCATTTCTCTCTTTGATATTCTGTTCTTGCCTCTTTCATGTCAATTGAATATTTTTATCATTCAGCTTTTTAAGTTTTATTTTTTAGTTGTTGCTCTAGGACTAACATTATCTTTAATATATCAAAGCTTATTGGTTTTACATCTGACACTTCACACTTCCCATTTAACATTTGATAGGTCTTATTTCCCACTTTCCCACTTCTCATTTCATATTTTCACTTTCCATTTCATACATTTAAAACTTACACAGTATAATACCATTTACCCATACCACCCTTTGTACTATTTTTGTATTTGTTCATGTTTTATAAACCTTTCTAAGTTATTCTTCTTGCCTTATTTAGCACTTTAAACATGTTTTCTCATTAACTTATAAGTAGTTGTAGTTTTTACTGCTCTCAGGTATATGGTGTGTCTGATTGCTTTCAGTATTAGTGCTTTGTCTTTCGTTTCCTCTAGTGTTTGTGCACAGTGTGGTTCCCGCCTTTTTTTTTTAAAAAAACTTATTTGAGAGAGAGAGAGAGAGAGCCAGAGCATGAGCAAGAGCTGGGAGGAGGAGGCAGAGGGAGAGGAAGACTCCCTGCTGAGTGGGGAGCCCAACATGGGGCTCCTTCCCTGGACCCTGGGAATGACCTGAGCCAAAGACGGATGGTGTAACTGACAGAGCCACCCAGGTGTCCCCTGTGTGGTTCTTTTTACATCTATCTCAAGGTTTCATTGAACAGATTGTCTGCAGTGTTTTTCATCAAATGTTTTTCATCAAATGTGTGAAATGTTTGACCGTTATTTTTGAAGGACTTTTCTGCCCTAATCTTTTGTTTGGGAGTATAATTACACATGCTCCCAGTGGTATATTAGACTATCTGATGTTATACCAGAGCATATGTCCCTGAGGTTCTATTCAGCTTTTTAAACCTTTGTTCTCTCTCTTCCTCAGTTTAGATAATTCCAATTCATTAGCCTCAAACTCATTATTCTTTTATCTCCAGTCTCATTCAAAGAATTTGGCTTTTTTTTTCAGTTTTAAAATTTCTATCTTTTTATAGTTTCTATTTTGCTACTATGTTTCTTTGTTTACTTAAGACCATATTTGTTTTTCTTTAAGCATATTCTTTAAATCTTCCTTCATATTAATATAAGCTGCTTTGGGACAAACAAAAACTAAAAGAATTTGTGATCACTAAACCAGCCCTACAAGAAACATTGAAAGGGGTCCTCTAGGCAAAGAGCCTAAAAGTAACAGACCAGAAAGGAACAGAGACAATATACAGTAACAATCACCTTACAGGCAATACAATATCACTAAATTCATATCTTTCAATAGTTACCCTGAATGTAAATGGGCTAAGTGCCCCAATTAAAAGACACAGGGTATCAGATTGGATAAAAAAACAAGACCCAGGGGCGCCTGGGTGGCTCAGTTGGTTAAGCGACTGCCTTCGGCTCAGGTCATGATCCTGGAGTCCCTGGATCAAGTCCCACATCGGGCTCCCTGCTCGGCAGGGAGTCTGCTTCTCCCTCTGACCCTCTCCCCTCTCATGTGCTCTCTCTCATTCTCTCTCAAATAAATAAAATCTTAAAAAAAAAAAAAAAAAGACCCAGGGGTGCCTGGGTGGCTCAGTCGTTGAGTGTCTGCCTTCAGCTTAGGTCATGAACCTGGGGTCCTGGGATTGAGCCCCACATCAGGCTCTCTGCTCAGCGGGAAGCCTGCTTCTCCCACTCCCCCTGCTTGTGTTCCCTCTTGCTGTCTCTCTGTCAAATAAATAAATAAAATCTTTAAAACAAACCACCAAGACCCATTGATATGCTGTCTGAAAGAGACTGATTTTAGACCCAAAGTCACCTCCAGATTTAAAGTGAGGGGGTGGAAAACCATTTACCATGCTAATGGACATCAAAAGAAAGCTGGGGTGATAATCTTTATATCAGACAAATTAGATTTTAAACCAAAGACTGTAATAGATGAGGAAGGACACCACATCATACTTAAAGGATCTATCCAACAATAAGATCTAACAGTTATAAATATTTATGCCCCTAACATGATCAAAGAAACACATTGACAATAATACAATAATAGTAGGGGACTTTAACACCCTCCTTACTAAAATGGATAGATCATCTAAGCAAAAAATCAAGGAAATAAGGGCTTTAAATGACACACTGGACCAAATGGACTTCACAGATATATTCAGAATATTCCATCCCAAAGCAACAGAGTACACATTCTTCTCTAGTGCCCATGGAACATTCTCCAGAATAGATCACATCGTAGGTCACAAATCAGGTCTCAACCGGTACCAAAAGATTGGGATCATTCCCTGAATATTTTCAGACCACAATGTTTTGAAACTAGAACTCAATCACAAGAGGAAAGTCGGAAAGAACTCAAGTACATGGAGGCTAAAGAGCATCCTACTAAAGAATGAATGGGTCAACCAGGAAATTAAAGAAGAATTAAAAACATTCATGGAAACCAATGAAAATGAAACCACAACTGTTCCAAATCTTTGGGATGCAGCAAAGGCAGTCCTAAGAGGAAAGTATATAGCAATACAAGCCTTTCTCAAGAAACAAGAAAGGTCTCAAATACACAACCTAACCCTCCACCTAAAGGAGCTGGAGAAAGAACAGCAAATAAAGCCTAAACCGAGCAGGAGAAGAGAAATAATAAAGATCAGAGCAGAAATCAATGAAATAGAAACCAAAAGAATAGTAGAATAGATCAAAGAAACTAGGAGCTGGTTCTTTGAAAGAATTAACAAGATTGATAAATCCCTGGCCAGACTTATCAAAAGGAAAAGAGAAAAGACCCAAATAAACAAAATCATGAATGAAAGAGGGCAGCTCACCACCAACACCAAATAAATACAATTATAAGAGCATATTATGAGAAAGCATATGCTATCAAATTAGACAATCTGGAAGAAATGGATGCATTCTTAGAGATGTATAAACTACCAAAACTGAATCAGGAAGAAATAGAAAACCTGAACAGACCTATAACCAGTAAGGAAATTGAAGCAGTCATCAAAAATCTCCCAACAAAAAAGAGCTCAGGACCAGATGGCTTCCCAGGGAAATTCTACCAAACATTTAAAGAAGAATACCTATTCTTCTGAAACTGTTCCAAAAAATAGAAATGGAAGGAAAAGTTCCAAACTTGTTTTATGAGGCCACCATTACCTTGATCCCAAAACCAGACAAAGACCCCATCAAAAAGAATTACAGACCAATATCCCTGATGAAGATGGATGCAAAAATTCTCACCAAAATACTAGCCAATAGGATCCAACAGTACATTAAAAGGATTATTCCCACGCCCAAGTGGGATTTATCCCTGGGCTGCAAGGTTGGTTCAACATCCCCAAATCAATCAGTGTGATACAATACGTTAATAAAAGAAAGAATAAGGACTATATGATACTCTTAATAAATGCAGAAAAAGCATTTGCCAAAGTACAGCATCCTTTCTTGATTAAAACTCTTCAGAGTGTAGGGATAGAGTGTACATACCTCAATATCATAAAAGCCATCTATGAGGCTCTCTGCTCCTCCCCGTTCCACAGATAACCACATCTTCTGGTGCAGTGCCAGCCGCGTCCCCAAGACATGATAGTGAAGGTCGGAGTGAACGGATTTGGCCCTATTGGGTGCCTGGTCACCAGGGCTGCTTTTAACTCTGGCAAAGTGGATGTTGTCACCATCAATGACCCCTTCATTGACCTCAACTACGTGGTCTACATGTTCCAGTATGATTCCACCCATGGCAAATTCCACAGCACAGTCAAGGCTGAGAACGGGAAGCTTGTCATCAATGGAAAGTTCATCTCCATCTTCCAGGAGCGAGATCCTGCCAACATCAAATGGGCTGATGATGGTGCTCAGTATGTTGTGGAGTCCACTGGGGTCTTCACCACCATGGAGAAGACTGGGGCTCACTTGAAGGGCAGGGCCAAGAGGGTTATAATCTCTGCTCCCTCTGCTGATGCCCCTTTGTTCGTGATGGGTGTGAACCATGAGAAGTATGACAACTCCCTCAAGATTGTCAGCAATGCCTCCTGCACCACCAACTGCTTGGTTCCTCTGGCCAAGGTTATCCATGACAACTTCGGCATCGTGGAGGGACTCATGACCACCATCCATGCCATCACTGCCACCCAAAAGACCGTGGACGGCCCCTGTGGAGAAGCTGGGGAAGCTGTGGCATGATGGCCGAGGGGCTACCCAGAACATCATCCCTGCTTCCACTGGCGCTGCCAAGGCTGTGGGCAAGGTCATCCCTGAGCTGAACAGGAAGCTCACTGGCATGGCCTTCCGTATCCCCACCCCCAACGTGTCCATCGTGGATCTGATCTGCTGCCTGGAGAAAGCTACCAAATATGATGACATCAAGAAAGTGGTGAAGCAGGCATCAGAGAGCCCCCTCAAGGACATACTGGGGTACACTGAGGACCAGCTTGTCTCCTGCGACTTTAACAGTGACACCCACTCCTCCACCTTCGATGCTGGGGCTGGCATTGCTCTCAACAACTACTTTGTCAAGCTCATTTCCTGGTATGACAATGAATTCAGCTACAGCAACCGGGTAGTGGACCTTATGGTCCACATGGCCTCCAAGGAGTAAGAGCCCCCTGGACCACCAGCCCCAGTGAAAGCAAGAGGAAGAGAGAGGCCCTCAGCTGCTGGGGAGTCCCTGCCCCAACTTATCCCCTCAAACACTAAGAATCTCCTGACCTCCATCGTTTCCATCCCAGACCCCCTGAAGAAGGGGAGAGGCTTTGCGAGCCCTACCTTGTCATGTACCATCAATAAGGTATACTGTACCCAGCCAAAAAAAAAAAAAAAAAAAAAAAAAGGCCATCTATGAAAAACCCACAGCGAATATCATTCTCAATGGGGAAAAATTGAGACCTTTTCTCCTAAGGTCAGGAACATGGCAGGGATGTCCAATCTCACCACTGCAATTCAACATAGTACTAGAACTCCTAGCCTCAGCAATCAGACAACAAAAAGAAAACGCATCTGAATCAGCAAAGAAGAAATGAAACTCTCACTCTTTGCAGATGATGATACTTTATGTGGGAAACCCAAAAGATTCCACCCCCAAACTGCTAGAACTCATACAGGAATTCAGTAAAGTGACAGGATATAAAATCAATGCACAAAAATCAGTTGCATTTCTATACACTAACAAGACAGAGGAGAAATTGAGTCGATCTCATTTACAATTGCACCCAAAACCATAAGCTACCTAGGAATAAATCTAACCAAAGAGGCAAAGAACCTGTACTCAGAAAACTATAGAATACTCATGAAAGAAATTGAGGAAGATACAAAGAAATGGAAAAACATTCCATGCTCATGGATTGGAAGAAGAAATATTGTGAAAATGTCTATGCTACCTAGAGCAATCTACACATTTAATGCAATCCCTATCAAAATACCATCCACTTTTTTCAAAGAAATGGAACAAATAATCCTAAAATTTGTATGGAACCAGAAAAGACCCCAAACAGCCAGAGGAATGTTGAAAAAGAAAAGCAAAGCTGGTGGCATTACAATTCCAGACTTCAAGCTCTATTACAAAGCTGTCATCATCAAGACAGTATGGTACTGGCACAAAAACAGACACATAGAACAGAGAGCCCAGTAATGGACCCTCAATTCTATGGTCAAGTAATCTTCGACAAAGCAGGGAAGAGTGTCCAATGGAAAAAATACAGTCTCTTCAACAAATGGTGTTGGGAAAATTGGATAGCCACATGCAGAAGAATGAAACTGGACCATTTCCTCACACCACACACAAAAATAGACTCCAAATGGTTGAAAGACCTCAATGTGAGACAGGAATCCATCAAAATCCTAGAGGAGAACAGGCAGCAACCTCTTCAACCTCAGCCGCAGTAACTGTTTCCTAGAAACATCGCCAAAGGCAAGGGAAGCAAGGGCAAAATGAACTATTGGGATTTCATCAATATAAAAAGCTTTTGCAAAGCAAAGGAAATAGTCAACAAAACCAAAAGACAACTGACAGAATGGGAGAAGATATTTGCAAATGACATATCAGATAAAGGGCTAGTATCCAAAATCCATAAAGAACTTATCAAACTCAACACCCAAAGAAATAATCCAATCAAGAAATGGGCAGAAGACATGAACAGACATTTCTGCAAAGAAGACATCCAAACGGCCAACAGATGCATGAAAAAGTGCTCAACATCACTTGGCATCAGGGAAATACAAATCAAAACCACAATGATATACCACCTCACACCAGTCAGAATGCCTAAATTAACAAGTCAGGAAACGACAGATGTTGGCGAGGATGTGGAGAAAGGGGAACCCTCCTATACTGTTGGGGGGAATGCAAGCTGGTGCAGCCACTCTGGAAAACAGTATGGAGATTCCTCAAAAAGTTGAAAATAGAGCTACCCTTATCAAGTTTAGATTTTCTTGGGGAAAAAAAATGTTTCTTCATTTGTTATATACCCTTAGAACCATTTCCAGAGACTTTCACTAGTTTCCCTGGGGGAGCAAGTCCATGGCGTTTCCTCATACTATCATGCCAAAGGAACTACAAGGTTTCTTTTTTGGGATGATGAAAATGTTCCAAAATTAGATATGGTGATGGTTGCCTGACTATACTAAAAAACATTCAATCTTATACCTTAATCAGATGAACATTATGGAATTTAAATTACATCTCAGTAATTTTGCCATTAAAAAAAGAATATATGACGCTTACCAAAATGTGGTTACTGTGTTGAGAAGGGAAAAGAGAAGACAGGTTAAGCAGTGCTAGAACCTTCCAGGTCCCATACCCGACTAGTGGAAAGGCTTCATCACCACCTTTTTAAACATCAAAACACCCAGCTAAGGTGCTAAAAAGACTACATTCCAGACATATAGATCTCATTGGAGAGTAAGATCTACTCTAGATCCACCTGTACAGAGCCTAATATCCAAGTCCTTACAAGAGCAATAAAAGACAGCATTTAGAGGGATTCAGTCCCTCCAAGTTACAGGGGCTTGAGAAACACTGTGCTTTTCTTTTTTTTTTTTTTAAGATTTTATTTATTTGACAGCGAGAGAGACAGCGAGAGAGGGAACACAAGCAGCAGGAGTGGGAGAGGGAGAAGCAGGCTTCCCACGGAGCAGGAAGCCCGATGCGGGGGCTCGATTCCAGGACCCTGGGATCATGACCTGAGCCGAAGGCAGACGCTTAACGGCTGAGCCACCCAGGCGCCCCTGAAACACTGTGCTTTTCACTCATCCACCCTAAGGAAAGGCAAAATTAAGCTCACACAAGTCTAAGATGAAGTTGGCCAATAATTGAAATGCCAACTGAAAAAAGTCAAATCTTTATAGGAATATAATGGAATGCAGTGTTTTTTTTTTTAAATAACATTCAATAGTGTCCAGTATACAATGAAAAAGTTACTACATATGAAAAGAAACCGAAAAATGTCACCGATAATCCAGATAAAAATCAGTCACTAGAAACCAACTTTGAGATGGCCCTCGCATACTATTTAGTAGAACAAAGACTAGAAGGCAGCTTATATATTTTTTATTAACATATAAGGTATTATTTGTTTCAGGGGTACAGGTCTGTGATTCATCAGTCTTACACAATTCACAACACTCACCATAGCACATACCCTCCCCAGTATCCATCACCCAGACACCCCATCCCTGCCAGCCCCCTCCACTCGAGCAAATTTCAGTTTGTTTCCTGAGATTAATAGTCTCTTATGGTTTGTCTCCCTCTCTGCTTTCATCTTGTTTCATTTTTTCCTCCTTTCCCCTATGATTCTCTGCCTTGTTTCTCAAATTCCACATATTAGTGAGATCAAATGATAATTGTCTTTCTCTGATTAGCTTATTTCACTTAGCATAATACCCTCTAGTTCCATCCACATTGTAGCAAAAGGCAAGATTTCATTTTTTGATTGCTGCATAATGTTCCATTGTATATATACACACCACATCTTCTTTATCCATTCATCCTTTGATGGACATCTAGGCTCTTTCCATAGTTTGGCTATTGTGGACATTGCTGCTATAAACATTGGGGTGCACATGCCCCTTCAGATCACTACATTTGTATCTTTGGAGTAAATACCCAGTGGTGCAATTGCTGGATCGTAGGGTAGCTCTAAACTTGGATAGTCTGTGGTATTTAAAACAAGACCCACTCACTCCTTACTCCCAGCTCAGCAAGACAAGTATAAGTACAAAGGACTCCCTTTTCCCTCCTCTCTCAGTTGGTAGGGCTACCCAGCAGAGGGCCAGGATGCCAGCATTTCTCCTCCTACCTTTATCTACCTGTTACTGAGGCTAAGCTCCAGGTGAGTGTGGCTGAAAAATAAGTGCCCCTTTTCTGCCCAGCTCCTGCTCATGGGATATAGGTTCAACCTTGGGCATGGCATCACTGAGAAAACTTGAGCCCTAACTGCCCTTGCTGTGGTTTGTGGGTAGGAGCTCAAGGACAAGAGAGGCACACCAAGGTGACCTGGGCCTTTAGCTAAGATGCTCCCGCCACTGAGTGCTCAGCTCTATTTCACTCTTGATTT